TAGTCCCATCATCATCAACGAAGAACCAGAGTTGATATCCTATCTGGCGCTCGGCGCCCAGACTACATGTGGCAGATCCTATCTAGCCTATACTACGAAGCCGAAGATGACATCAACAGCATTCCCGAAGTACGAGCATATGGCGACCAATGTCGCACGCTTCCAGCACCAGGTATGTCTCACGCTACACTCACAACCTCGTTCCCCAACTCACAGATGCCACTAGCACCCAAGGACCACCCTGCGCTTCACCCAGCTTACAGCAACGCAGCTCGGCTATGGCTGCGTGCTCCTTCCCTGCTCGCCCGTGAGAGCATAGGCGCCAGCCAGCAAATAGCGCAGCATGCAGCCAGCACCCGAATATCGAATGAGGAGGCAGGCCCTTCCCTATATCGAAGTGGCCTGCCTGCGTCCAGTCCAGGAAGCTTCCAGTAGGCCCCGGTAGCCTGAGGCCCAGCACGAGAGGAGCAGGCCTTGGGCCTGAAGTGGTTGCATGTGCCCAACTGCTTTTCGGCCTGTGTTTGGCCCGGTACCCGTATCCAGCCCAGGGCCTGCTTCACGTACATTCACACAGGCGGCCCAGGGCCTGGGTTCACTTAACCAACTGGCGCCGCGCAACTGCCTGAATTTCCCTGAGTTGCTGGTGGCCAGAAAAGGGCCCTGAGGGCCTCGTCGAGCCTGCCTTCACTTAGGGCGGCCGACGGGCTGCTAAAATGGGGCCTTGTGGGGCTCTTAGAGGCAGTGGCCTCGCATTCCCTCCTCCTTAGCTTCAACAGTCCTCTGAGAAGCTCAATCTTCGATCATAGGGCGCTTTCCCTTATGCAGAGATCTCTCGTATTGGGTCACAACTTGAGGAGTGGTCTGCATCAATTCCTCCCTGGTGAACCATCTGTCCTCCTTCGGATCAGTGTGATGCTGGAACTGAACGCGGTACTGCAGCTTCGGTTTTGGAGGACGTCCCCTGCCTGCTGGTCTTGATACCGGCAGCTCTCAGTGATCCACAATATCATCAATGTCCACCTCTCCGTCCATGGTTGGGGGCAGCATTGAGCGACGAGATGGAAACTGGTCAGTTTCTTTAAAAGGTGCCATCTTGGAGGCGTGAAAGACAGGGTAAGTACGAAGATGACCAGGAATCCGGATAACATAAGATGGCCCATCTGGATCTGTCCCGACGATGTCTAGGACTTCCCAAGGTCCAAAGTACTGACGCATGAGTTTGCGGGATATCCCATACTCCTGTCCCAGTTCTGAAGACTTAACCCAGACCCTATCCCTCCTGTCCCAGTTCTGAAGACTTAACCCAGACCCTATCCCCAACCTGAAATGTAGAAGGCCGACGGTGTCTATTTTCGGACTCTATCATCGCGGCCTGTGCCTTCTGCATCTGTTCTACCGCCTGCTGCATTTTCTGTTCGTATCTGTAGGCAAACTCTAACGTACCCGGTGCAGCAGTTGATTCATTCTCAGGTAGGAGAAAGTCAAGAGGTAGTCTAGGCTTGAAAGTCAGTAGTAGACTGTTCGGACTCACCCCAGTGGCACTGTGTACCGCGTTGTTATACAGACTGGCGATGAGAGCAAGCTTCTCATCCCAGCCCACCTGGTTGGGCTTGATGTAATGCCTCAAGAGGTGTTGTACAGCGGGGTTCAGTTGTTCGGCCTGGCCGTTGGCCTCTGGGTGATTCCCATAAGTCATTTGCAACTGAGTGCCCTGCTCTGCAGCAGCGGCCTTCCACATCTCACTGGTAAACCTGACATCCCTGTCACTGACAATAGACTTGGGTAAACCAAAGTCTCTAACCCAGTTTTCTTTGAACATTCGGATCACGTACTCCGTTCTTGCTGTTTCTGGCATGGCCCATCCCTTCCCCATTCCCACCTATTCCCTCCCCAGGCTCGCATGCGGATTAAACGAATTGCAAAGCTCCTGTTGAGAGGTTACGATTTTTTCGCAGTAAATTGGTAGCAATATTTTTCTTCTGAATAAGTACGTAAGACTTTTTGAACACTTGATACATGCTGAGTAAGGATCGGTCTTTGCCTCTTCCTTCCTTTTTTGCGTTTTCTGGCTCCTTCTTCCTTTCTCCTTTTTCCTTTTTCCTTTTTTCTTTTTCTTTTTTCTTTTTTCTTTTCTTTTCCCTTTCCTTTCCTTTCTTCCTATGCGGATTAATGAAACACAATAGGATTTCAAAATTCTTTCATGTTGGGTCCTCTGGCGATTAGTTCCTTCGTGAGGGAAATTCCCCGGACTCGTGCATGCTCATGAGGTTCCCTGTTTGCTTGAATCAATGAACTGTGAAAAGCTTCGTACGGACATTTTAGTAAGTACGTGAGGTCTTTGATGCATGCTGAGTGAGGATCGTTCTGTGCCTCTTTCTTTTTTTGCGTTCCTTTTTTCCTTCTTCTTTCTTCCTATGCGAACTAATGAAACGCACTAGGAATTTCGTAGTTCTTCCATGATAAGTCCTTTGGTAATTAGCCCTTTCTTTAGCGAATTTTCTGTCTTTTTCTCTCGTTCTTTGCTGAGTAAAAGGCTTCGCATGAACTCTTACATGCTGATGGATGATTTTTTTGTCGATAAAAGTTTCGTACGTAAAGCCTTTGATGCATGCTGAGTAAGGATTGTTCCCTGCCTCCTCCTTTTTTCCTGCGAAAAGTCCTTTGATAATTAGCTCGTTCTCTGGCAAATTTTCTGTCTTTGACTCTCGTTCTTTGTTGAAAGGCTTCGCATGAGCCAACCCCCGGACTCCTGCATGCTGATGAGGTTCTCTCTTTTTGCTTGAATCAACGATCCGTGAAAAGCTTCGTACGGACGTTTTAATCAGTACCAAAGGCCTTTGATGCATGCTGAGAAAGGATTGTTCTTCGCCTCTTCCTTCCTTCTCACGTTCTTTTTTCGTTCCTTTTCCCCCCCCCTTTTTTTCCTCCGATGCGAACCAGTGAAACGCACTAGGGAATCTCGAAGTTCTCCCATGATAGGTCCTTGGATAATTAGTTCCTTTTCTCTATCTCTAAACTCTTAAACGCAAAAGGCTTTGCACGAATTAGCCCCCGAACTTTTTCCTTGCTGCTTGAACCAACGATTTGTGGATGATCTCTTCAAGCACAGTGAAACGACTATACCGCATATGCCGTTGCATAAACATCCCTCCGATTATGCACAGGCCGTACGACTCTTTGAAACTAACTAGGAGATTCGTCTATGCGTATTGCTCGTCGAAGCGCTACCCCATCGATTCTTACCTATTATGGCCTTTGTCCCTAGTTCCATGATCAGAAATTAGCCTGATTAGTAGGAGTTCCCTGCTGCTGTTTTTTATCGTACGCTCTATTCTAACTTTGTGTAATGCAAACCCCCCCCTGATTAAGCCTCTCCCACTCTACCCCCCTCCCCAAGAAAGGTTCCCAGCCCGATGAAATTCTCATAAGATATCCAATAGGATACTAGCTTATAACCCCCGGAGCTGCGAAGTTAAAAGCCGTGGAACGAGCCCCCCATTCCGAAACAAAAGGTTAAACCATATCGCCTACACAAAAATGCCCAGATCCTGCCAGAGTTCCGCGATGTGCCGGCCAAACTTGCGTCGGAGCTCAGCCTAACACGTTATAACGTGTCCTGGCGTGTGTATGAGCACACACCCAAAACACACACACACACACACACACACACACACACACACACACACACACACACACACAC